TCTCAATGACAAATTACAACCATATACAGTAGGCAGCGTCGCCCACCGCGATACCAGGAAAGTTCCCGTATTAAAATTCTGGGCCAATGTACTTGGATTAAAACGCTTGTATATGAATTATAATAAACAAAACATTTTAACGACCATAACCAATACAATTATATTATTGTACTTTAATATGATGAATATTAGGAATCTAGGGAAAAAACCCTTTAGTAAATAATTATTAAGTAAATTAAGATATATATAATATTCAAGTATAGCTCCAATCTTCAAAGTACGTTCTTGAGCATCATTTCCTAGTAGTTGTCAAGGAGCAAAGGGTAAGTTTCCTTGGCTTTTTAACTTCAGGGCTTTTTTTTCAGAATACCAATTATTAACTATGTGGAAATTAAAGTTAAATACTCTGAAAAATAAAATAATATAACAGTATAACAATAATTAATATAAATCTAGCCCTTATGTCTTACAGCAGAATAATAATAATCAAATTCGTAAGAATATGGCGTGATTCAGTTGAGATGATAAAAGGTCTCGTTTGAATACAAAATGACTTGATATAGGTAATGAAATAACTAACCTGTAATAAATAGATATTTGGCATGAGCGGTGGCTTTATAAAATTGACGTAAAAGTCATATAAAAATAAAATAGTTTCGTGAAAATAAGTTATTAAAAACGCTGAAAATGAAATCAATAGAAGATTGATATTTTTAATTCTTGAATATATAATGAACTTTAAATCACTATGAACTTTGATGAAAACAAATAATATGAAATAAATCAAAAAAACGCTTTTAGAAAAACATGGGCATGTTTATGCAAGTTTGTACGTTATATTATGCCATATTGTAGGGTTGGTTTGGTTTGGTTTAATAATATATTATAATTTAAAGGAACTTAAGGAAAATAGGAAGGAACTTATATATAGAGGGTTTGAAAACTGTAGTTAAGATTTGTTTAAGATTTTGTTTTGACTTCAAAATACAAAGAGTACACAAAACCTGTCGGGTGTTAAAATGACCGATGAGCTTTTGAATAACTACGCATTGACGTTCGAAACACGTGCGATAGTTTTGATTCAGAAACCGCAATGCAATCATTTCTTATTCCTCTCACTCACCGACCCATAAGTTGACTCTATTATTTATATACTTTTTTGAAATCGCTCATAGAAAAAAGTCTATACCTAGTACCTACCTAGCTGATCTCGAGCACATCTTCGTTGCCCGTAAAAATTACAACTTTAAAAAAAATTGTGATTGTTCAACTGCTTTTGGGTGCAACTCTACCTCCTTGGTAGGCAATCTTAATACGTCGGATCGTGGACATGTTCAACTGCAACAGCATATCAAGTAGGCAATGTGCGAAAATTTGATTAGATATTTGCTTGCACCTGATCTGCCCGATTAACCAATGACAACCAAATATGAAATAATAAATACTAATTTTTACACATTATTTTATGGGTGGTAGTGGGGTGAAAAATACTTTACACATTCTCAGACCTACTGAATATACACACAAAATTTCATAAGAATCGGGCAAGCCGTTACGGAGGAGTGCGACCACAAACCTTGTGACACGAAAATGTTATACCTAAATTATAGATATACCTATCAGGTAACCATATTTTTCCTTTATGAAATAATTTAATAATTATTGTTTTTATAATTTATTCCTTGAAGTACGTAACAACAAAATATAATATTATTAATGAGTTAAGTACCTATATTATACATTATTTTATACTAAATAGTAAATAATATTAATAATATATTATTGATAACTAAGTAACTACCTGCCTAGTTATCAATCAGGACAATAGCTATAGCCATCATAGGTGTAATCCAAATTGTTCCTAATTCTTATATACATACAAATATACAATTTTATTATATCTCGTAGGTAATAACTTATAACTACAATAATAAATAATAAATGCACCTTCAGGAACAAAAAAATAAATGTATAGAATAAGTGGAAGGAATGATTTTTTTTTACGAATAAAATAAATAAAACGTAAAGACTAATTCAGAAAGAAACGCATTGAATGATACAACGAAAGTGACTTTTCTTCGAATGTTAAAATTGAAAGTTGAAAATAACATTTAATGTTATTTAATTAATTCTAGATGTCGAATGTCGATACTTAATAAATTATTTAAACATTGTAGATATTTGTATTCCTAAATATTGATCGTTTCTTAAATTAATTTTGTATAATTTGTTTTTACGACACATTTATTATTTTTTCACAATAAGAGCCTTTTAAAGTTAAAACATTGAAAATGTATATAAAACACTATACATTTATACCTAATAATTTAAATAATTTGGTAACCAAAACGTATACTTATTGTTTCCTAATATAGCTAACAAGCTACAGTATTAACTTCATTTACAAATAATTTAATGTATTGAAAATTAAAGCGTATTAAACGACGATGCAGTTATACCTAGGCCTAATTAAAGACTTTAAGTACCTATACCATTTATCTGTGAATTAGGTATTATCTATTTAATTGTTTTCATACCAAGTCGAATTGTTAATAATATATTTACATTTATGATTAAATAATTTTCACTTTCATTTACTTATTCTGCGCAAATATATTATTTTTTTTTATTAGGGGTGTCTGAGCTGGTGCTTTATTAGTACAAAAACATGTCTTACAAGTTACAAGAGAAACCCTCACACCCTGTAGAATAGTCAGATTTCATTAATTATTTTTTTATTTAATAAAAGAAAAAAATTTAGAAAATTGTTACATGAGAAATTGAGTGAATGTTGTAAAAATATGAACTTCAAACGCTCATAAAAATTTCATTTGAGTTTCTTGTAGACCTTTCTTTTTTTGATAAAGGTATACAAACTTATGAGGAATCTTGTATTATATTTTCATATCTTAGATTTAAAAAGAAAAATTTTTATGAATCTCTAACTCGAAATAATTTGCAAATGTTCGTCATTTTTACGTATTTTGTCAATATTTGAACTTTAAATGCTTATAACAAAAAACCGTGACTAAGGATTTTTAATATTTTTCATCTGTCTTTGAAATAATATATTAGGAGCCTTCTATTAAATTGTTAAGCTTTTGTACCCAACAAATAACATTTTATTGATATTTATAGAATAAAATTTTAAAAAAATGGAAACTGAAAATGTCCGTAAAGAGCTCAAAATAACTCAAAATATTTGGAAAATTGTATCATGTATAGAAAATGGAAAAATATAAACAACCAGTGAAATTTTCATGTATATACATTCATTTGTTTTAGAGTAACAACAAAAACAAAAATCGATTTTGTATAAAATCGATTTAGCGTAAAAAATTCCCGTTTTTCCTTAATTTTTCTTTTGTTTTTCACGGCGCTTTCAAAAGCTACTGGAAAAATGTTACTTTTGACCCCCCAAAGTGCCAACTAGATTCACTTTCCTATCAGAAAAAATACTGTTGAAGAAAATCCAAGCACGTTTACTGTCCTAAGAGGTGATGACAGACACAAAAAAAAAATAAAAAAATAAAAAAAAACACATCATTGTAAAATCAATAAATTCATCGTTTCCACTCAGAATCTAAAAGTTAAGTTACAACAATAAAAATGTTAACTGAATAAGTTAATAAGTTAAAAACAAAAATAATTACCTAGTTAAGTTCAAAAAATAAAAAAAATTAACTTTTTAACTTAACTTTAACTTTTTACCAAGTTAATGTCCACCTTTGCATATAGGTACATATATGATATTATATTTAGACATACCTATTGACTTTTTATAATTTTATTGATATACACATATTATCATCAAGATAACTAATTATTGTATTTATTTCCTTTTTTAATTGATTTGTATTAATTATATCATTAGTATTATTGTATTGACTTTCACTTTTCAGATTAACTTTTTATTAGACTCTTTACTTCATTATTATTTTAATTGTTGAATATAGTTTTTCCCATGTGATTGCAGGGAGAATTTCTTGTAATTGTTACTAATGTATTAATGTATATGACGGTGTAATGCATTTTCATGTTCTTCAGTCAGCTGTCTATTATTTCTGTAGCATTGAGTGTGTGGTTTTGTATGGATTTATTTTAAATTTGTCTAATGTATAATTTATGAACGTAAAATATATTTGTAGGATTGAATAATTCTTCTCATGGCCCATGGGTAGGGACTCTACTAACGGTACTTTTACAATAATTGTTTGGGTACCTAATATACAATGTATTAATGTCTATTATATTACTTAGACCCCCGTAGATACGCCACTAACCTATGAAGTAAGTACAGTAGTGGATCCAAAAGTCACCCAAGGGGGGAGGCGAATTTTCAAAAATTAAATTGTCTTTTTGTTTAGCCAAATATTATAAAAGAAAATGCCTAACATTAAAAAGACAGCCCAAGGGGCGAACGCCCCTTCGCCGCCCCCCCCCCCCTCTTATCCGCCACTGGTAGGTACCTATAATAGTGTCTAGTGTCGAAGTGTCTTACCGACTACCGTCTACCATTGATTATTATTTATTAATTATACAAGTATTTGAAATAGGCAGGTATAAATTATAAGGCAAATTTATAATGAACCTCCATGCCTAAATAAAAACACCTGATTGCGCTGGTGGTGACTGGTGATAAGTGATAACGATCCGGCTATCCTAGGACCATGAACATTAGAGATCTAATGTTCATGCCTAGGACTACTACTACTACTACGACTCATCCGTTATCACACAGTCGAACACTCGAACATATTGTTATCAAAACGCTTTTCCCGTATGGCCGTAAACTGTACTTATAAGAATATTATTAAGTACCTATTAAATATTTTAAATGGAATTTTAAATTAAATTCAATTTCGTGTTGTTATAGTTGTTCGAGTTTTGTCTCCGTGCGCTTACGCGACCAATAACATCAAGCAATACTTAAGTACATATAACCACACCGGCGACGCTTAGGTTGTCGTTCTCCTAGTATCCGACACCCTTGTCATAAGATGAACTTCGAACCGGACTTGAAGCAGTACACCATGTGCTCGGTATTGGGCTCGTGTTTCTCGGACCGGGCGGTTGTGTTCCTGGGCAAGCACAACAAGAGCGGCAACTTGGTGGCAATGAAGAACTTCAACTTGGACAGTATGTCGAAAACTGACTGCCAGCTCATACAGGACGAGATCTACAACACTAGGCAACTGATGCACCCGAACCTCATACCGTACGTGACTTCCTTTTTGGACAAAAGTCAGCTGTATGTTGTGTTCCCGCTCATGGGGTATGGTTCGTGCAGAGACTTGTTGCGCAATCATTTCGTGGAAGGATTGCCGGAAACAGTTATAGCATTTGTGCTCAGGGACGTTCTGCAGGGACTTGAGTACATACACAATAAAGGGCTCGTGCATAGGTTAGTAGTGTTTTCCCACTGCCAGTATTGATAACTTTTTTATAATTTTTTTTTTCTACAGGGCTATAAAGGCAGGTCATATATTGATACGCGCGGATGGACATGCAAGTTTATCGGGCTTGCGTAGCATGTGTCCAATTGATAAACGGTCAAATTTACATTCCTTGCCACTGCAATCAGCTAACAACTTGAATTGGTCTAGTCCCGAGATGCTTGAACAAAATTTGCTTGGGTACAACGAAAAATCTGACATTTACAGTATAGGCATAACATCATGTGAACTGGCAAATGGTTTCGTTCCTTTTGCTGAAACCGATACCACGTTTATGCTAACACAAAAAGTTAAAGGTCTAATTCCACACTTGTTAGACTGCACTACATGCTATCCATATGAAGATAATGCAGCTGATAATGGATACCAATCCGAAGAAACAATTGGGGTGAATGCAACACCTGTGAGCAATGTTTATACAAGGATGTTTACGGAGGAGTTTCACAATCTTGTTGAATTGTGTTGTCAACGAGATCCAGAAAGTAGACCTTCTGCGCCCAATTTGTTGGCTCATACTTTTACTAAACAAGTGTGTCTCAAGTCTGCATATTTTTTTTTATATGACCTATACATACAGGGCCACATTTAGGGTAGGCGCTGAGTACAACTGCCCTGGGCGCCAGCATTTTAGGGGCCCCAAAATTTTGTGGTCAGAAATTTGTTTACTTGTGAATTATTAAAATTTTATAATTTTAATTATTTTAATAACAGTATTATATAATATAGTTTGGTATAATAGTATTATGCTATTTTAAATTTTTTTAATCAATATTAATTTGCATAGTTTTATATAATTTTATTTTATTTATTCATGAAGTACCTACTTAAATATGTTAAAAAAAAAATAATTATATGATTAATTATAAGGAAGGTTTAAGTTACATAAATTCATATGAGAGAGGATCAAGCAATTACTAAACAATAATTTTAAAAAAAGCACACATTGTAAAACAAATATTCTTTTCTATGCTTAAAATCTAAAATGTTAATGAGGATCTATCCATATTTTCCGTGGGTAGGCCCCTTAGAGGGGAGCAATATTTTCACCCGGCCTAGGGAGCGCCAATTTTTTTTTACCACCGGGGCACAAAATGTCTAAATGTGGCGCTGTATACATATATAATTTTATGTAGTCATTTTTTTTATATAACATAATTATTTAATATTTACAACTATAAAATTCTATATACCGTATAAAATCAAAGTATCCCAAGATACTTAAAAACTTTTATTCATATAATTCAGAATATATTAAAAGCAATTTGTAGAAGAATTAGTTATGTAGTTAAAACATTAAATTAGGTCTAAGTGATACAATTTGGGCAAATAATTCCTAAATTCTTAACTTGCCTAATAAAATAACAATAATAAAAAATTATAACCAAGTAAACACACATAGACATAAAACATAAATATAAAGTAGATATTATTACCCAATAATTTTGTTAGTAATATTTAAATTTGAATATGTAAAAATGTACATTTATATTGGGTCTTAACTTAATTTAAGCAGGTCTAGTATGTATTTGTGTACATATAAATATGAAGACTTTACTATAATTAAATATACAAACTTCACGCCTACATATTTTATTCATTGTCTGTGTTCTGTTTGAAGTTATTTTTTCAATATTTTAACTCTTTGAAACAAGTTATAATAATTTTTAAATTGTAACATTTTACATACTAACTTGTTTTAAAATAAAAATAGAAAAAATTAAATGCCACCAGAATATAGACAATTTTGTTACCTAAATTTGGTAATAGTCAATTCACTCTCATATTAAAATTGACAAAACTAAAAATAGGTGGTATGCAGACCGAGTTAGGGGGTCCATGGTTATACTAATAATAATTTATCATTAAGTATTGATTTTAATTTAATATATTTTATAGGTGAAACGAGTAAACGTAAAAGTAACTGATTTATTACGGCCGGCTGTACCGCTGTTGAAGACAAATGTTGCAGAAATAAGTGATGATCTTGCTTCTATTGGAGGCATGTCACAACAATTGAGTGATCTTGACCTGTTGACATATGCATGGGATTTTGACCTTAATGACATAGTACCAACACTATAAATGCCTATTACCAGTATTAGTATTAGTTAGCAAGTGTTCATCCCTATTATATTGTATGCAATATAGTCTATAGATTAGTAGATAGTCTATAATATATGAAACTTTAAACGTTTATATAATATTTAGATCAATGTAGTACCTACACAACTACTGGAGGTTTATTTTATTTGGAATTTTTATTTAAAATTTACTCTTACTATATTATATCTTTCAAATTAATGTTTGCTTGAATGTTGATAAAAATGTGTATTCAATATTAACTTTACTATAATGCAGTTGATTATTTTATTTTGGTTTATGGCTGTTTTTGCTATTTATGAAATATGATAATAACAGTAATTTTTTTTTGCAAATAGGTATTTCAATTCTACAATATATTATTCATAAATGTTAGTTGAAAAGAAAAAAGGTACTTAGCATTTTGTATTGGTTTTTGATGTTAATGCTTAATCGTATGATTATACAATTTGCTTATGTAAACTTAATAACTATCTAATATTAGGTATGACATGTTACTAAACACAATGTCATTTGTATTTGGTGCTTCTAGGTTTTTCCCCCAAAAAAATTGATCTCTTTTTCTTTTGTTTGTTCATTAGCAACGCTTTTAAAAATTATATTTGAGAATTTTTATTTTATTTTTAAAAAACACTAACTATCTTTTTGCTCTACTTAGCAATTATATTTACATTTACATAGCTTTTACAAATTAGTTTTGTCATATAGTTAGGTAACTAGTGTCTTTGTATATTGCTACCTAAATAAAATAAAAACATATGCAAGTATGCAACACATTCTCAACATTGCTCAATATTTCAAAATATTATGTTCATATTTGTTTTTGAGTATAAAAAAAATTGCAATTAATTTTTGAAGCGTTGTGCATTATTTTATATTCCTTGATTTAAGTTCTAAATGTGGTATTAAATATATTGAATGTGAAATAGTATACATTTTCTGAAAATAATAATACATTTTTTATTCACATTTATTAATTGTTCATTTTATGTTGATGTATGTTTTATATTTACCAAACTACATTTTTAGTATTATTTTTAAATGTATATCTCATTCTACTATTATTTTAATTATTTTAATTATGATTATTATTTTATATTTGTTGTTGTTTATTATAGATGTAATTTCTACTATTATTTGTTTTCATTTAGTAAATTATTCAGTTATTACTATTTGCACAAACATTTAATAATATAAATGTATAAGAAATTGAATTAAAAAAATATATACACATGTATAAATTTAGAGCTATGACTTAATTTTGTTTGTTTTTTTTTATATTCCAACATTATTAGAATCATCACCTAGTTCTATATAGGTATACATTGAATAAATCAATACCACATTCACATTTGACTTAAAAATTCAATACTCAACAGTCAACCGTAGACCTAATTTATTATTTATTACAGAAATTATATCTGTATAATAGACTGAAAGAATTTAGGTACGGCCTATCAAAGTAGGGAAATCTACATTGTGGCCAAGTCTGTTATTTTAGATTCTGAGTGAAACGATGAATGTATTGATTTTACAATGATGTGTGTTTTTTTTTTTTTTTATTTTTTTATTTTTGTGTCTGTGTACACGATAAGTAGTCGAAATAATGCTTCGATTTTCGACTTCAGTATCTTGTTCGACTGGAAAGTGAATATCGTTGGTGCATTGGGGAGGTCAAAATTTAAATTTCCCAGTAGTTTTCAAGAGCGCCGGGAAAAACAACATAAAAATTAAGGAAAAACGGGAATTTTTACGCAAAATCGGTTTTCCAAAAAATCGATTTTGGTTTTTGGTGTAACTTTAAAACAAATAACCGTAGATACATGAAATTTTCAGTGGTTGTTTATATTTGCATTTTCTATACACGATAACATTTTCAAAATATTTTGATTTATTTTGAACAGTTTAGGGACATTTTCATTTTTAGTTTTTTTTTAGTTTTTTTTCTAGAAATATCAATAAAATTTTATTTGTTGGTTGCGAAAGCTTGAAAATTTAATAGAAGGCTCCTAATATGTTGTTTCAAAGGCAGATGAAAAATATTAAAAATCCTTAGTCACAATTTTTTTTTATAAGCATTTAAAGTTCAAAAATTGACAAAATATGGAAAAATCACGAAAATTAGCAAATTATTTTGAGTTAAGAATTCGTAAAAATTTTTCTTTTTAAATCTAAGATTTGAAAATCTAATACAAGATTACTCATAAGATTGTCTACCTTTATCAATAAAAAAATTTCTACCGGAAAGTCAAATTAAATTTTTATGAGCGTTTGAAATTCAAATTTTTACAACATTGGATATTCACTCGATTTCTCATGTGGCAATTTCCTTTTTTTGTTGTAATTAAAAAACGAATTACTGTAGATACATGAAAATTTCACTGAATGTTTATATTAGCATTTCCTATACACCCTACAATTTTGAAAATATTTTGACACTTTTTGAGCCGTTTACGGACATTTTCAGTTTTCAATTTTTTTAGTTTTTTTTTTCTATAAATATCAATTAAGTTTTATCTGTTGGGCCAAAAAGTGTAAAAATTTAATACAAGGCTCCTGATATATTGTTACAATATCAGTTGAAAAATATTAAAAATACATAGGCACAATTTTTTTTTATAAGCATTTTAACATCGAATTTTGATAGAATTTTTCAAAATCTCGAAAATTATTAATCATCGTAATTAATAAATTATAAAATGTTCAGTTTTTATAGCTAAGGATTGAAAATTTAAAACAAGATTAAGTAAGTAGTTAATTCTCTTACCGAAAAATCTAAAAAATATACAATCACAGTTTACTTTTATAGTCATTTTATGTTCAAATTTGGACGAAATTACATATTAAAAAACCTAGTTATTTTGTTGTGATTATATAATATTATTCGTGGGTACCTACTTGAAACTTCTAAAGTGTACTATTATATATATATGATAGTATCAGGGTTTGTTGTTGATGTTGATGTATAACGTGTTATAAGTACCTAATGGATATTGTGATAATGTGATATGATTAATTTGGAATTTATTATAGGTCAATTTTTTTTTTAATACCATAGATATGTATATAATTTGTATTAAACCTAGACTGACATACCGTCTTCGCTCAGAATCGTTTTTCTTATACAATGATATTGTATCATTGAATTCAAATTTAATAGCATCCATTATACAGTGACCCACTTGTAACCTACTGTACAGCAGAGCGACATCCACTTACCCACCTTTTTTAATTCATAACCTCACTGCACTCATACATTAAAGAGCAACACTCCTCTTTTATTTGTATTGTTTAACACTGGGTTAGTTTCTTAATGAGGCATAATAACTAGACTTGGCCGCAATGTAGATACCAATACTATGATTTGCTGTCTTTTTGAGAAGAAATCTAAACCTTTTTCTTTCTTCTGAGTTCTCTTCTCCCCATCACCCACGTAAATCATAAGTGGGTATACTCGATAATGATGTTTTATGCTTCATTCAGAAACTGACCAAGTGTTAAACAATACAAATAAAAGAGGAGTGTTGCTCTTTAATGTAGGAGTGCAGTGAGGTTATGGATTAAAAAATAGCAGACTTGGCTACAATGTAGATTTCACTACTTGATAGGCCGCCTTTTTTGGGAGGTAGTTTGGAACTTGGCCTTTTTCACAGTTAAGTTTTTTTTGGTGATATCATTTATTTTTGCGTGCCCTATCGTCGTGGCTGACGTGTTATTTTATTTTTATTTTTTAATTTTTTTTTTAATACGTCGTAGATTTTTTTTTTTGCATGACCGTTTGGGGGTCTGTTGAGGAGTTGAAATATTGGACTCTTGTGCGTTGTCAATACCAGGCAAAGATAGCCAAGTACGATCTTTTATTTTTCGTCGTCGAGACTTTTTAGTTAGAATAGTTGCAAACTGCCAAGTCTGGCCTATACAAAGTATTCTTAGACGGTCGTGGCATTGCTGGAACTTAGTCGGGCCCACTACTGTCAGATATAAGCTACCAAAATATGGTACATATTGATATTAAATTAAATATTGTATCTATTAAAATATTCTCTGTTTATATCCTTATATCTGTACCTATAATCTACCTATAGTATATAAAGAAAATAATATTTTGTCTTATTCACCATTTTTAAAGTTTTTTCAACTTCAAATTCTATAGGTATATATAATATGTGACAACCAGACCAATTTTTAGTCTATTTATTTTGGTTAAATTTATAGTAAAATTGAGTGAAAATTTAAGATCATTCAATTATTTGTGGTTGAATTTATTGTGATGTTATTGAACAAAAACTTTATTGTTAGATCAACCAATTTAGTTGTTAGGTACTTTTTACTGTGGTTGAATGTATAATACGATTGAGTGAAAATTAAGATTTTGATCAACCAATTTTAAGTTATTGCTACCATTCATTTTGGTTGAATTTATAGTACCTACTTAGTGGGTAGGTAGGTACCTTTTATCAACAAGCAATATATCTATAATATTATAATAATGTGCGTTATGTACAATAACAATTGTGTCACATTTATTTATTTTGATTGAGGTATTACCTAAGTACTGCTATGAGAATAATATCAATTGTTCTTATTTCAAATCCTGTCAGGTTTAAGTGAAAACTCAAATTATCGATCTTCGAAAAATGACTTAAATTGTTATTTCTTTTAAGTGTGTGTATTTATCAAGGGGGTTTAGGGGGTTCCCCCATTCCACTGGATAGGTACTTAGTAATTAAAATTATGGTATTTCTCAATTTTAGATAAGGCAATTTGCCACTTTTTAGCTCCTCCCCCTCATTCAAAATTCATGAGCACACCTCTGGCCAGTATATTTTATAATATAAAAAACGACGAAGAATCATAAAATTGATGCACAAATGCACAATTATTTCTGTATGTGTGCATAATATAATTAAATTTCAAGTACTTTCCTCAATTATCTGTAAAATGTAAATACCTACTCATAAAACAGAAATAATTGCGTAACACCAGAAAATTGATTTTGGTGATTTATTGAAAATTTGAAAGAAGATATCGTTGAGAATTCCAATTTTCAGAAAATGCTACTCTAACTAGATGCTAGAAATGTTAATGTCAAAAAATAACATGGCATATATCAATAAATGGGTAGTTAAAAATAATAAAACTAAAAGAATTATTGACATTATATTTTTAAAAGTTTTGACAATAGTTTATTTGTTTTGAATTTTGAATTGAAATAAAACATTTGTTTAACTAAAAATATTTTTAATTAATTAAATTCGAGTAAAAATAGTTTGGAACCGGGTACCCATAAAAAAAATCAAAACCATTTTCAGACACGAGACACAAAATTTCTGGACAACTTTTCTCTCCCTGATTAATTTTTATATCAGCATTCAGTCTGAATAATGAGTGTTTCAAATTACCATTGGCTCAATATGGTATTGATAACAGGTGGTATTCTTCCACCGGTTGCCGGGATAAAACGATACAATCCTTACAACAAGGCAAAAGGCAGAGGGAGAAATGTCTTGCCCCACTAACATGCGTGATTTGCCGATTCTCGACAAATATACGTTTACGGTGGCTGGAGAAAAGTTTCTTCAACAGACGATTGATACACTGATTTGAAGACTTCTGTGGTAATAAAAATAAAAGTTGTTAGCAATGATAATAACTAATAAGTATTAAAAATATTTCTATTTTGGATTTAAAACTAGGGCTCTTCTTCCTTAATATTAGTTATTTTACTTAATTTTAATTATTTTGCTATACTATGCCAACTGAAAAAAGTTAGATTATTTATCTATTTAAATACCGACAAACCAGATATATTTGCATTTATGTTCCATGATTATTTGTAGATTTATAAATATATCAGAATAAAACTAGGAGTTTCATTTTTTTTAAATAATTATATATAGTTATTAGTTGCATATTATTTTTTCTATATTTCCCATTAATGTAGCTCAGGTCTATACTTGATACTCTTGTGATGCTTTTAAATTATAATGATGAAATCATTAGTTTTGGGGGGGGGCTATGGAAATTCCAAGGGGGGCTAAGCCTCCCCCCACCTATTGGCTATTTGCGCCTATGACTGTAGTATAATATTATGTTATGTCTATGGTCCACAACTACAGCCTGTGGTTGACGTATACAATATTTATATCCCATCAGTTGGATGCACTGTTTGTCTGTGTATAACAACACTTGTTTGATTTGATTACAATTTACAAAATATTTTGGGCGTGTGATTTAAAGTTAAACCTGTTAAACTGAAATTGTTCGCATTTTCGCAAGAATTAAAAAATTATAGTATTATACATTAAATCATAATAAATATAAGCATGTTTATCTATCCAATAATGTAAACTTTTAAATTGAGTCCTTTTAATTAATTTGTCAAAATACAAATCTCGTTACGATGCCGTCCGCTCTTTGTGTGTTTTGTATGAGCTTCATTGTTTTGTACAGCGTTTATTCTGGTAAAAATAACAATCGAAACATGTTTATGTTGATGCCATAATATGACAATTGCAGTAAATCAGATAATGAATTATTTGAATTTTTTAGTATGTGGTCTAATGTGTTGGCATTGCGATTCGCTCCATGACCCAAAATGCGTGGATCCATTTGATAATACCTCGATGCCAATGAAAGATTGCAAACTGGAAAAACTGGACACATATCCTGGTGTGCGAGGTACAATGTGCCGCAAAATCCGTCAAAAAGGTATACACAATTGTGCAAAACAAAATTAAATAATCGCCTACCTAAGTAGTTTATTGATTTAAATTATTTTTTAGTGTATGGAAAATGGCGATTTTACCGGAGTTGTGCTTTTCTTGGCGAACCTGGCATTGGTGGTGACGAACGTTATTGTTTAATGAGGACAGGCACACATAATATATTTACTGAATATTGTACTTGCAATTCTAGAGATGGATGCAATGGTGCATCTGGCATTTCTTTTTCACTTTTAAGCATATCGTTAGCACCAGCTCTTATTATTTACAGAAGACTGCTGTAATGTGTTCATCAAACAATAAAAGTAGTTGATATTTGAATAACTTTTTAAGATTAAAAAATATAGTTTTCATCAGATATCTAATCATTTATTTTAAGACAACAATAATGTTAACTATTTTATTTTTAAAGCCATTTGAAATTGTTCAACTTGTTATGATATATTTTGTTGTGATTAATAAACTGAAAAGTGTAACTGATCCGTCCATTTTTAAAACATAATATTTAACTATAAAATAATATTTGTATTAAAAATATAGTTGGTAATTTTTTTTTTAATATTTGTACTATGAGTATTTTTTAATTATTTTGTGAACAATTATTTAGAATTATTTATTACAACCTTAAAATTAAAGTATACATATATTTTTGGTAAATTAAGTTTTATAAAAACAATTTTATAGTTTTGTATTCTATATTTTGAATTGGTATATAACTCAGTATTATTAGTTACTTCTTTGTAATAACTATTTTCTAATAATGCGTAAATGATCAACTTTATTTTTGCATATCACAATAATCCTCTTTATTTTTTATATTATTCAAGTTTAAGATGATTCACTTCACTTAACTATGTAAGATAAATCCTTTTTTATGTAATTGGTACATTTAATTAATATTTAATTAATGTGATTTAAGTAACATTAAAAAACTTCTTTCAAAATATATTATAAAAAACATTATATTATAGAATCTCACTTGTTTATTTTATCTTAATATTATATCAAAGTATGGTTTTTAATGTGTTACCTTTTCTATTTTTTTAATTTTTAATGCTTAGTTGGTTAATACAATTTTTTATTGAATATTTTGTTCAACTTTAAACAACCAAAATATGTTAATTGTATTTATATCAACATATTTACAATTTTGAGTAATAACGTCATAAATGTTAAAATGTCACAAATCTTTGTACAATTTTAATATAGTATCATTCAGTTTATAAATATATTGGTTTTGTAAAGCCCCCTCTCCTCAAATCATACATACAATTCTACATTAGTTATTTGACTATTTATTTAATAATAAATTGAATATGTTATTGTTCATTTATTTGTAACATAACATAATATTAATTAAAGATACACAAGTCACTACAGTCTTGATAATTATTAAGATATTTTAGTTGCTGACAAATTTCACTAAATTGAAGAAAAGTTTTAATTTATCTGGCTTATAAAATATTATGAATAAATGTGTACATTAGTTTTGTGAAATAATAATTTATGAATATATATTATGAACAATCAAAAAACAGTTACACATTCCATAATAAATTAATTTTATTCAAACTAGCGGTTTCCAAACTACTGAATTGGTGCCCTACTAGTATCAAACCCCTATACGAAAAAATTATTATTTACAATTAATTATAATTATTTTTTATTAAATAGAATTAGAATTTTATAAAAATAATTTGTCTATTAATAATAATAATAATAATTTTATATAGCGGAACATTTTTCTGGTTATCAAAAATTATGTCCATAAACTATAACATTGAACAAATTTATCCTAATGCCCTACATGCTGTGTAAATGCAGACAACATTATATGCACAACTTTAGGTTTCTCAGCTTTGTTCAGTTTTATCAATTGTAATACTTGGCAAATGGCTGATATTTCAATTAAAAAGAATGATCTTTTTTGGTTATCACTTATCAATGA